ATATATATATATATATATATATATATATATATATATATATATATTTAAGTCCCGAATTGATAATTTAGTCATATTTAGAACCCAAATTAATAAAATAAAATTCCGAATATAAAAGTAATCAGTTGTTAAATACACATTTTTTTTTTATTTAATTTTATATCGAATTTAAAAATAAGAAGCTCAAGATTTCGAGAACGTATATATCCCTATAAGGATTAAGGAATAGTATAGTTAACACTATTTGTGTTTATAGTTAACACTAATTGAATAAACACAAACAATTTTGTTTTAATTTGATTAGTCTTTTTTTTTTTTTTTTTGAGTTTTATCAATACAAGGCTCGAAAGATGGGTAAACTATCAATGCGGGGCTTGAAAGATTTTTTTTCTCAATTTTCAGGTCCCACATTAATAGTTTACCCATCTTTCGAGTCTTGTATTGATAAAACTCCTACTTTTTATTTATGTTGTTTTTTAAAGTATGCATATATGTTAAAAGAGTATGTCATAGTAAATTAAAAAAAAAACAAAAAAAAAATTAAATTGTACAAATTAAGGAAGAAAATAAAGCATCTCAATGTCACAAGTTCTTGCTTTTCTTTACCCCAACATACATTGAAATTACAACCAATATTTCTCTTAATTTTGTTTCCATTTTCTCCCATGCAAGCAAGTTGAACACAATCTTCACACCCAACTTATGGTATAGCCAGCTTATATTTATTCAGACACAATGTTTAATTTAGAAATAACTAATTAGATTCCCTTGTTTTCATGAGGGATCATGGATAGCAAAAAAGAGGCTGGCAATGGCAGCGTTAATTATTCCGGCCAAACACCACCACCGGAGCCCGGCAGCGGCGGCCACCAGCCGATCGGCTCCGATCATCATCACAGCCGTTACTTTTTCAATCGTCTCCTTAAAGTTGTGTTGCTTTTCACCATGATCACTTTAGCATACCTCGTCGTTTTTCAGACACCGGCAAGCCCTTTCCAGTTCTTCTCATCTTTTAGTACCCCAGTAAGTTAAAAAATTTCTTCTCTCATTTTCGAATTATTCGATCTTTTTTGGAAGTAGTTTTTGCATTTAAGCGAGTTGAAAAAATGCACAAAAACATTTTCTTGATCTTAGCTATCAGAAAAACTGCTCAAATGACACACTGAGTCTCATAGGTGAAAAAAATAAATATATTTTGCGAAATAATGTGACAATTTCTCTTGAAAATTATGATTTTGTATCTCTAGTTATATGTCATTTAAATCTCAGGCTAATGAAAAAGAGGTAGGTTTGGGGCAAGTACTAGAAAGGGCAGCCATGGCAGACAAGACAGTGATCATAACAACCTTAAACGAAGCATGGATCGAGCCAGGCTCGATCTTTGATCTCTTTCTGGAGAGCTTCAGAATTGGGAATCACACACTTTGGCTCCTCAAGCATTTGGTTGTTGTAGCTTTAGATCACAAGGCATTTCATCACTGCTTGAGGACACAAAACGATCTCCATTGCTATTTTCTCACAACAAAAGGCGTAAACTTCTCGAACGAGGCTCATTTCATGACCCCAGACTACTTGAAGATGATGTGGAGAAGGATAGATTTCCTCACAACTGTTCTCCAGATGGGATACAATTTCGTTTTCACGGTTGCGTAACTTTTTGTTCGTTAATTTAATTATCACGCTAATTGGATAAATTTATCGGCTTGATTATAACGTAATCTGAGTTATTATTGCAGGATGCAGACATAATGTGGCTCAGAAATCCATTCCCACATTTCTACACAGACACAAACTTCCAAATCTCGTGCGACAGTTTTGGAGGGAAGTCAACCGACCTGCAAAATGCACCAAACGGAGGTTTCAACTACGTGAAATCAGGCATTCAAACTATAAAGTTCTACGAGTTCTGGTACGAGTCGAGAAAAAAGCATCCGGGCAAACACGACCAGGACGTGCTCAACGAGATAAAGTTCGACCCGTATGTTAAGGCCATTGGACTACAGATCAAGTTCCTTGACACGGTTTACTTCGGGGGATTTTGCCAGCCGAGCAAGGATTTGAACCTCGTGTGCACGATGCACGCCAATTGCTGTGCTGGCTTGGATAATAAGATTCACGATCTCAGGATTTTGCTCGACGACTGGAAAAAATATACATCTTTGCAGGAAGATGTAAGGAAAGGAAAGTCGCCTTCATGGTCTGTACCACAATCTTGCGGGTAGCTATCTATCGCTAAATTTTCGAAACTAAGAAAAATTCATTCACCCCTTCACTTGCATTCAACAGAATGCAATAATATCATGTTTTGGGCTAATGCATTTTTTTTT